ATAAAGCCTGGAGATCCGTAAGATGCCAGATTGGTACTGACCACGCCAGGGGTGGAGGAGAAGGTGGCCCTGTATCACTCCACAGAGGCAGCCTGAGGAAGGCCAAGGGCAAATGGAGCACATGCCCACATCACAGCTGAAGAATCACCCAGCTTTCATTTTGTTACACAGATCAGAAAACTCAAGCCCAGAGAGGCGAAGCAGCTTGCTCAGTATCACCTGTGGCCCCCGCAAATCTGACCCTGGACACCAAACCCCTCTCCCAGCCGCACCGGGCTCCCCTCACCCCCGGCAGGTCCAGGCAGTGGGGCCCGGGAGAGCCACCACACAGAGCCCAGGCCATGCTCACTCGTTAGGACAAGCCCACGAGGCCTCAAGCACACTGGGTGTCTGTTCCTGATCATTAGCAATGAGTGGTCTGGGCAGGGGCCCCGGGTAAATGCTCCTGGCGTGTTCTATGGGACTGGCTTCCCGGGGGAGGAGGAACAGGGAGTTACAAGGAGAAAACGTGCGCTTTAGCTGCCTGCTAAAATCCCCAGGGATCCCGAGCATTCGGAGGGCGACTGCAGGGCATCTGAGGAGCTCCAGGGCTTCCCCTGGGCATCTGTCATGAGTTACCTGTTTGTGTGGCTGCACCAAGATCACACCCACCCAGCCCCCTTCTCCTCCACCTCGGCGGTCCTGCCAACAGTGGAGAGGCCCCGCCACCCATCTGCTTCTGTTTCTTTAAAAAATATTTTCATTGATTTCAGAGAGGAAGGGAGAGGGAGAGGGAGAGACAGACGGAAGCATCATCTGTCGGCTGCCTCCTGCACGCCCCCTACTGGGGATTGAGCCCGCAACCAGGGCATGTGCCCTGACGGGGAATTGAACCCTGACCTCCTGGTTCATAGGTCAATGCTCAACTACTGAGCCACCCGCCGGGCGGGCAGCTGGGTCCACCTGCTTCTGTTTGTCTTCCTTCCCAGACCCGTCACCATGCAGACAGCGCAAGCAGGGGACTGGGACCAAACATCCTCCCCTGGAGTCAGAAGCAACCTGTGGACACGCAAATCTCTGCCTCTTTGAATTCCTAGTTCGAGGAAAGGAGCCCCTTCGCCCAGGAAGGGTCGGAGGGCTCACCCCTTCCTTGGCAGGCAGCCAGCCCCCCACTTCCGAAGCCCCGGTGTTTTGGCCCCGGATCCGGAGAGCAGCACCATCTGAAAGAGGCTGTGCCATCGTCCCCAGAGGCGTCAGCTCATAAATCCCATGACATGTCCCCACCCCTCAGCTGCGATGTTCACAGGCCGTGGAGTTAACGCATGAGAATGCCATGCGTTTGCTGTTTACTTTTCTTCGATAAATGACAGGCCTTCAAGTCAATCATGAACAAGTTACAATGAAAGCTACCTTAATCCGGTGTTTGGTGCCTGCCCTTCCATGTTATTTTGTTAATCCATTGATTTGTTAGAGCGTGAAAGGGAGGGGGGGCAGGGGGGAGAGAGAGAAGCATTGATGTGACAGAGACACATTGGTTGGTTGCCTCCAGCATAAGCCCCAACCAGGCCGGGGGTGGAGCCTGAAACCAAGGTACTCGAATCGAACCCAGGACCTTTCAGTCCACGGGCGAACGCTCCACCCAGTGAGCCAAATCGGCTAGAGCTGGTGCCCAACTATTTTAAATGCTTCGGGCGCACAGGCGCGGTGGTCTCCGAGCCACATTAGCAGTAAGCACTGTTCCCTTCCCCACACAGAGGCAAAGCAGAGAGGCCTGTGTTGGCCCCAGCATGATGCAAAATCAGTCTCAACAGCCCACTGAGAATTTTCTACTTTTTTGTTTTGTTAACCCTCACCCGAGGATATTTTTCCATTGACTTTTAGGGAGAGTGGAAGAGAGAGGGAAAGAGAGAGAAACATCAATGTGAGAGAAACACACCCATCGATTGTCTCCTGCCCGAGTCCTGACCAGGGGAGGAGCCTGCAACTAAGGAATCGAACCCGAGGCCCAATGCCGATCTAATGCTGATCTAAGGGAAAGGGTTCCGTTCTCAGCACAGAAGGTTTCACCCATGACACACCCAGCACCTACCGAGTGGAAGCTGGGATTTTCCCAGATGTAGGAACGAGGAACCCTGAGTGGAGAGGCGAGCACTCAGACCAGGTGCCCACCCCAGACATGGCCCTGGCGGCACGCACTCTACGCAGGGACATAGTTAGAGACGGGGAGTTGTAACCGACTGGTAACCTTTCAAATCACAGCCCCTGCTACCCTAACCACCTGTGGGAAGGGACATTTAAAAACCACTCACCCTGTGATACGTTGGCACGGTGACAGATGGTTACTAGACTGCATGTTATGAGCACATTGTTTGGTGTATGAATGCTGCATCCCTATATTGTACACCTGAAACTAATGTAATATCATATACCAACTATACTTTTAAAAGACAATGACGACAGCCACTCACCTTTTCTCTCTCGATTCCTGCAGGAAGTTCAAAGCCCTTCGCTGTAAGAAATACCCAGCTGGACCTGAACCGCATGTTCCTGATTTCTTTGCTTCCAAGCGCTTCTATGGTCTTCTTGGCGTCCTCCTTCAGTCTGGGGGACAGAGGAGAGCGACTGAATGTCTGCCATGGGGACTCCTGTGTGTCCCACTGTGTTTGTCCCAGCACTGAGGTCTCCAAAGCCACTCATTTCTTGGGAGGGGTAGGAGGGGGGGGTGAACAGGAGGACAGGGCACCCAAGCTGGCTGCGTGGGTCAGATTTCTAGTCACTGCTGGGCACAGCCACGCACGCTCACCGGCTGCTGCCGTCATCGTGGGTCACCATGAAGAGCAGGGACTTCGCAGGCGCGCCCTGAATGAACTTGGTCATGGGTCCGGAGTAATCTGTCGGGTCAATGCAAACCAGTTTTAGGAGCGCCGTTAGCTGAGGCTCTTGCCCTACGTGCTGCACCTCCCTGCCCTCAGCGTTCGCAGCCACTGCGATCCTGATTCCTGGAGCTCCTCTCTGGACCAGGCATACGGCCCCGCAGCTGCTGGGCTTCCGCGTGGGACCGTGCGAGGTCAGAGCACGAGTGGATCAGGAAGATGCTACTGATCAACTCGACACCAGCAGCCACTTTGGTGGCACAGGCAGCGCGCTCTGCAATGACTCAGGCAGCCCCCACCCATGTGTGCGCATCCCAGACCGGAGTGGCTCAGGCACCATGTGCAGGACAGAGACAGGAATGCAGACCCGGCCTTGCCTGGGGAAGTCTTGGCTAAGGGGGCTGCCTACGTCTTACAGGATAAAAGAAAGGCGAACCTCTGACCCTGCTCTTTACCCCTGGGGCTGGGTGCTGATAGTTGTTGCTGGAAGCCAATTCCAGCATGACAGCAGGGCTGCATCTGGGAATGGCTGATGGCATTTCCCCAAACCTGAAAAGGATGCATTACATTGATTGCTTGCTGCCAGACAGCTCAGGGCATCTTAATCTACATGTTATTGCCTCCTACTGGCCAAACACCTGAACAGCCGTAGGCTAATTCTCCCCCATTCTGACAATGCCTCTGTATAGGAGACCCTGACCCTTTGAAGTGTAGCTCCACTTCGCCTCAGGACAATTTGTGTTAATAAAAAGCATGGGGTCCTGAGACAAGGAGATCTTAGTTTCTTAAGCGAGGCTCCTCTGACCCCCAAATGCCTTTCAAAATTATATTTCGTCTCTGGACTCTTTAAGTTACGCACAGCCCCTTCTCCAGGTTGCTGAACCCTTCTAGATGCTGGAACAAGAACCCCGGCAAGTTGTGCTTAAGTCAGCTGCCAAGTAAACACGCACCATTCCCACCGAGAGGCACCGGCATTTCTCATGACTCTCCATTGTCTTACAGAGACTTGTTAACAACTCTCAGGGCTGGTATATCCTGACAGGCAACATGTCCAAGACCCAGTGCCCAGAATGGAGAGACGCTGAAGGAGAGCGGGGGTCGCGGGGCCCGGGAAGGAGCACACCAGGCCCAGCGGGCACCAGGCCCAGGACAGAAATCCCGATGATATTCAGGCCGGATGCTGATTGCGTTATTTTACAGAGATTTGATTTGAAACCGTCTCTTCCCGTTATCCAAGGAGGGAAGGGAAGGAGAAGATTCAAGACAAGTGTGACCAGAGGAAAGGAATTTTCTAGAGAATGCCTTCAAACGGAATTACATGAACCCAGAGACTAAGACAGTGATGGCGAACCTTTTGAGCTCGGCATGTCAGCATTTTGAAAAAACCTAACTTAACTCTGGTGCCGTGTCACATATAGAAATTTTTTGATATTTGCAACCACAGTAAAACAAAGATTTATATTTTTGATATCTATTTCATATATTTAAATGCCATTTAACAAAGAAAAATCAACCAAAGAAATGAGTTCGCGTGTCACCTCTGACACGCGTGTCATAGGTTCGCCATCACTGGACTAAGAGGACTGATGGAGGGACGACCGTTCTAGAATACTCAACACCAACTTCTGGCAGTTTTCTTAGCAGACAACTTAGTAAGAACGTTTGGCCATTTTGCCTGTGTTTTTAGAAATCTTGATTTATGTTTAGAACTCATTTAAATGTTAACAGGAAACGAGTTTTCTTACCTCCTTCATACATATCAAAATACCGTGCTGCTATCACTTTCCCAGTCACATCTGAAAAGAAAAGGAACAGCTTTTAACCGAAAGCTCATCGGGACTCGGGGTGCATCCGTGGCACCAGAGTTCTCGGCGTGGCCTGTTCCTTCCCCGTCTCTTTCCCAGGAGCCTAAGATGCGCTGCCTGCCCTGGTGCTGCCGATGTGGGTGGGTCAGAGTGACGCTCCTCCGCTGCCCTGGCTGCCTTCCGGCTGCTTCCCACAGATTCCATCCTACACTTTCTTGTTGCACCTTCCTCTTCCCACACAGACCCCAGAGTTCCCGCCTCAGGGCTCTCTGCTGCGTCTGCAGGCTCCCCTCCGGATCACCACGCTGGGCACATTCTGTCTTGGGTTCCTGCAGCCCCCCTGTCACTGGACCATGTGCTCAGCTTGCTTCCGGGACACCCCAAACCTGTGATTGTCAGGGTCCCCAGTGGCGGTCATCTTTCCCAGGCCTAAGGGGAGGCCCTCGTCCCCCCTATCACACAGAGGCAGAAACTGGTAGATGTGTTGCCTTCTGCTGGGCCACCAGGAATCTGAGAGCCAAAGTGAGGCCCAGGTCTGCTCCTCTGGTCTCACCCGCCTCTGCCAGTCCTCCTTGTTTTGTTTTAAAAATCTATATTTGGTTTCATGGTGTGTTCTTTGGAACTACAAATAATCTGTAAAGTGAGGCGTTGTAAAAATAGTTAAATAGACCGAGTGCAAAAACCATCGAAAACCCAAGGTATCTGGGAAAGATCCCATCAGAGTCTTTAGAAAAGTGGGAAAGATCCCATCAGAGTCTTTAGAAAAGTTTTAAAGAAAATATTTAATAACTTACAATTGACAATGGCAATATTTATGAGCCTGAAATGTAAATAAACATTAGTCAAAGGACTCCTTTCTTACCAAGCCCAGGGGAAGCTCCCCCCACCCCCCCAAGGTCTGGGGAAGGCCCCCCCTCACCCCCCAGATCTTCTCCTGGCAGTCGCTGCCACTACCATTGTCACCTACCGCTCCCTCCCTTGCTGACTTGCCCTGACAGTCACCCCCACACTCATCTTCCCCAAGTCCCTCAGGGAGCCTGGAAGCTGCACTGAATCTTATAATTTAGACAAATGTCCAGGGAGAGGACCATCTCAGATTTGATTAGCACAGGCTTTTTACAAACTTTTTTTTTCCACTGAGTCCTCAACCACCTCATGAGCATTCATTGTTCTGCTTTATTAATCTGAAGTAGAAGGTGTGGGCCATAAGAGATGTTTTTTTGTTGCTTTTTAAAATTTTGCTTTTACTATATGGCTATAGTTTCTTTGTTTTTTTAAAGGTCATACATTAACTAAGGTACAGGCATGTTTAAAAATGCCCTTTTAATAAATGTAAAGACAACATATAGAGAAAATCTTTACAACACCAATATATAAAGGATCTTATCAATCAATAAAAATGGCCAATGGCAGAAATAAAAATGGGCAAGAGATATGAAAAGATAGTTCATAAAAAAATAAACACAAAGACTCGGCATAAAGAGATCCTCAATTCACTCATGGCAAGAGCAATAACAAAGTAAAAATCTGACCCGAAACCCAAGTTTAGGCTCACACAATGGCAACCGTCAAAGTATTTGCCCACATGTTGTGTTTGGACAGACGGCGGGGAAACAGCCATGCTCGTCAAGGCTACTCTGAGTCCTCTGAGAAGCAGAGAGCAGAACAGGACTGACCGCACAGGAGCCTTCATTAGGGGAAAGGCCTGGGAGGGAAGAAGGGGAGGGGCGGGGAGAGCCGGTCAGACCACATTGCAAGTCCGAGCGGAAGTGAAGACAAGAGGGAAGCAGCTTGGGTGGACCAGGCCGCCCTGCAGTCTCCCGAGAGCTCAGCAAGGCCAGGGCCCCCTGGTGTTTGTCTCCCAGGAATGGGCCCGCCTGGGACCCCGGTGCCGGCAGACTCTCTCCTTCCCCAAACCCCACCCCGGCTCCCCAGAGCTCTTTTTCAACGAGGCCTAACTTTTGAACTCCCATGTTTATCTCTGCATTGTCCAGCTTTAGCAAGAATTCTGCTAAGTCGGGTTAACTAGAACCCCCTGCCTTTGATATCTGGTCACCTTCCTTATTGACTGGGCTCCTCATCCTCCACTCCCCACCTCTGGTGATTTCTGATCTCCTGAGCCCACCTTCAGCAAGGAACCTGTTGGATTAGTTTAGCCAGAATTCCCTCCACCCAGGTGCTTCGTTCCTCTTAGTAATTTCCTGTTCACTGACCACACCCTGCTCCTTGGCTATGATTCCCACTTACTGTGTTCAGAGTTAAGTCCAATCTCTCTCTCCCACTGCAAGACCCCGCTGCAGAGGTCCCTGTAGTGGGTGCCATGGCCCACCTTGAGTAAAGTCCGCCCTACCATCATCAACAAGTGTCATAAATACTTTTTATATTATGTTTTATTTAAATACTAGAGGCCCGGTGCATGGTGGGGGGCGTGGCCTGTGGGGATCGGCCGCTATGGGAGTGCCGCTCATCCTGGTCAGCTGAGCGGCATTCCCACTGTGGGAGCACACTGACCACCAGGGGGCAGCTTCTGCATTGAGCATCTGTCCCCTGGTGGTCAGTGTGTGTCATAGCGACTGGTCGACTGGTCATTCCGGTCGTTCCGCCGTTGGGTCGCTGGGCTTTTATTATATACAATGTTTTTATTGATTTCAGAGAGAGGAAGGGAGAGGGAGAGAGAGGTAGAAACATCAATGATGAGAGAGAATCACCGATTGCCTGCCTCCTGCACACCACCCACTGGGGACCGAGCCGGCAACCTGGGCATGTGCGCTGACTGGCAATTCAACCGCAATGCTTAGTCACCGGAGCAGCCCATGGAAGCATGGCCTTAAGCAAACGTGCTATAAGTTTCAGAATGCAGCTATGGGGCCTCTGGGTCTGGAGACCAGAGAAGCGCATTCCCACAGTTGGTCACCACACTCGAACATTGCCGGTCGGAGGCTCACTATGGTTCCAGGCAATGACCTCAGAATTCGAAGTAGAGATCATTTCTAATTTAGAAATGTACACTCAGACAAACTATCCCTTCATTGTGAGGGGGAATGACTACATTTTAAACATGAAGAATCTTTAAAAACTTCACCTCTCCTTCTACCCTTTTCTCGGGATGTTAATAGAGGATGTGCTCCAGCAAAACACGGGAGGAAACTGAGGAAGTGGGATGTGTATCCTGGAAATGGGGGCTGCAGCTCCAGAGAGGGAGGCAAAGGTCACCCCAGGCTGATGGTGGAGAGGGATGCCGGTGCCGGGTGTCAGTCTGCGCCAGCCTCGAGAGCAGCCTGGCCGCCTGCAGTGCCATAGAGATCGCCCCATATCAGTGCACCAGTACGAACAGAGTCCTTTTTAAAAGGGGAAATTGGGACCCAGATACACATACAGAGGGAGATGATGCGGACACGGGAAAGGACCACCACCTACAGCCCAGGGCAAGGGCCTGGAGCAGGTGCTCCCTCCACCCTCACAAGGAGCCAGCCCTGCCCACTCCTCCATCTCGGACTCCAGCCTGCTGACCGGGGAGAGAACGCATTCCTGTTGTTTGGGCACCAGCCTGTGCTCTTGGCTGTGGCAGCCCCGCCCCGGTGGGCGAGTGCACTTGAGGCTAGGACAGCTCCAAGCTCAGGGTTTACTTCGGCTCTCTCGTGGGCAAGGCGGTCACACAGACCTGCAACCAGGAGGTGTGGGCTGGAAAGGGAAGCCACACCCGCTTTAATCTGTGAGGATCATATAACAAAATGGAAGAAAACCTGCGTTCTGTTCCCATGACTTTGAAGGGCCAAGACACGTATTCAGAGAAGGCCACGGAGTATGAGCTAAGGCTTGTCTGACCTGCTGCCAAATGAGAGTTCAACACTGGGACACAGCCTCAAACCACATCCTTCCGGGAACACGGCCGGCATTCTCAGGGCCCAGATGCTCCCAGCCTTTGCCCAGGGTCAAGGACGTGCCCTTCTCTGCTGGGGGCAGACTGGCTGCTTGGTCAGCCTCAGAGAAGGGAAGGGGTCAGGCGGCTCTGTTTTCCTTCCTCTCGTTGCTACTTACAGCTCGTCCTCAAAGCAGATTTTGGCGTACTTGTCCCTGCCCCCGCCGCTGAGCAACCGGTAAGCATAGGTGTTCGGGGGGCACGGGGACCAGTGGTCGCATTTTTGCCTCTTGGGGGCCGGGGCTGTAATGAACAAGAACATAACAGGTCGTGCGATGATTTATCGGAGGGGCCCACTATTTGGCCAAGAACAACGATGCTCTGCCCTAGGACTCACACCTGCATGGCCCAAGGTCATGGGCAGAAACAGGAGTGGGGAAGGGGTCACCAGTAGGAATGGTGGCCACCAATAGGCGCTTCAGAGATTCCCCTAAAGTCACGAAGTTAATTTAATCTGCTTTTGTCTTAAAATAACAAATATACAAAAGGGAGGGGATGTTTTGCAGGTGGAACAAGTTTAAGAGTTGGGATCACTGCCTATGGCTGGCTATTCAACTGACATCCTTGGCATGCGATGGAGGGAGACAGAAACCATGGCAACGAGCCCTTCGAAACGCCCCGGTGTCAGAGGCAGCTAGGGGAAGCTGTGTCCAGGAGAGACTCCAGGAGAGACTTCTGATTTTGTGGGAAAATGAGAGAGCGAGTCCTCTGAGGGCGTCTCCCGTGCTCTGCTCCCGTGGAGCTGGGCCCCACCTCAGGCCGCACACAGTTAGTCTACTGATTCCGGGCAAGTTTGCGGTGAAAACCTTATCAAATACAAACAACCCTGTCACAGTCGATTCCTAGAAAGTGATTTTTTTGTTTGTGTGTTTGTTTGCCATAAAAGGTAATTCAATCTGAGAAGGAATGACTTTTATAAAAATAGTTTATCATTACTCAGTGCTCTATATTTGTGCAAATTGAGGTTGAGTAATTTACTCCCGTATTGAAAAGATACCAGCATATCTGTTCGCAAGATCTTGAAAAGGAGTACAGATTATTCTTAGTGTCCACACATTACCAAGTGCCATTTTTCATGGCTATTTGGTCATTTCACCTCATTCCCAATTTGGGTTGTATTCCAAACACACACATTTTTATTTAACACAGCCTGCATGTGAAGTTTTTCTGTTTGTTTCCCTAACATGGGGTGAGTGGGGGTTGGAAAGGAAGGAAACGGAAGATGTTATCTCCTCCCCCTCGTCATCGTCACCAACGTAAAATGGCCAGAACCCACTGTCACCCCGGAGCCGGGCCGCAGCTACTAGTGGGCTGTGACCCGGGCACTGACCTTTGAGGATGGGCCTCTCCCCGATGCTCCGGATGCTGTAGATGGCACTGGACAGGGGCACCTCTGGGACGAGCTGTGCCAGCAGGTACCCGGAGTACCAGGCGCACACACAGGCGAAGATGAAGAGCACGGTTCTCAGGGCGCCTGCGGACAGACACGCGGGTGTGGATGCTCAGGACAGCGGCCACCAGACAGCCCTGCCCCCCCACTCTCCTAGCCTCCCCTCCCCCAACCATAGGTGTCAGCAGGGTGCTCCTGGGAGGTGGGGGCAGACGAGGGCCCAGGGCTGCTTTAATGAGCCAACACGCTTTGCTGGGGGCAGGCATTGGAGGCAGACAGACGCAGACAACACGAACAAGATATGGGTGTTTTCAAGGCCATGCTTTCATGTTCACTGCTAGTTTGGGTCTTAGAACTTCCCCAGATGCTAACGTCATCGATTCCTCAAGTGGCCTTGGGAGCCACCACACCTGACGTGGGGCCCGTCTTGCCCGGCTCAGTGGACGGGTGGGGGCAGGCGTCAGCTCTCCGGGGCTGGCCCTCCATTCCACATGTACTGTCCCGCCTGCACTGCACCGGCCAGCTCCGCCAGTTGTTCTAGCGAACGATGGAGCCTAGAGGAGTTGTGGGAACTCCCCAGGTCATAGCTGGTCAGCGGCACATCGGGCGGCCTCCAGGCTTGTGGCTGGCGGCTGAAGAGAGGGCGGCCGGTAGGGGCTGCGCTCCTGACCCGCAGGGTCGGCCCTAACTGCTGGTGGTCAGGGTCAGAGCTGCACTGAATTGTGGGACACCTGGATGCTGTCAGGGGCTTGGTGTCTCCCCACCCAGCACCCTGAGCAGGGACAGGTGGGTAGCTCTCCCAGCCCCCTTTTCCAAGTTCACAGCCATTGACAGAAGCAGGCCTCCAACCCGCCAGCACACCACCCCGGCTTCCTCCTCTCCAGGCGGTGACGACACGCAAACCTGCGTCTGTCGCTGTCCGAGCTCAGCCCTGACCTCAGCCCCACCGTTTCCTGCACCTGCAGGTCTCCCCTTCCCTGAGCGCGGCGGGGGGTCCCCCCACTGCGGTGTCTGATGGAGTCTGTATGCGCTCGTGGGCTCACTAGCTCAGGCAGCGGCGCTCATGGAGCTGGACGCTTCCATTTCCCCTCGACGGTTCGGTCTTTTTCTGAGTGCGTATTTCAGCATCAATGCTTTTTTCTATTTTCCAAACCACGCAGCCCCCAAGATTGTTAGAACGTTACGCAGGGAGGGCTTCCTGATGCGAACTCCCTGGACTGTGTGGCCACTGCCATTTCTTGGACTGGGGGGGCGTCTCACAGCTGGAAAAACAGCCACAGAAAGCAGAGGAGAGCCCTGGGTCTGGAGGTCCCTTTCCTGGAATCCTGTTGGCTCTGTGGCAGGCGCGGGGACCCGCTGCGGCTGTGTGTGCCCTCTCCTGCTGACCGGCTTTGTCGGCGTCTGTCCTCGGCTTCAGGATGCTCTCCTGCACGGATCCCAACCCATCGACCCACCCCCTCTCCTCCTCTTCCAGGCTCTCCCAACCTGCCATGAGCCCCACTCTGGTGCAGCCCCGTGGCCTGCACGGGCGCCCTCATGGCAGCCATTCGCACACCTTGCTGGTGTGGCACACCAAGGGTCCCCTCCCTCCAGGACTGTGCCCTCACACCCAGGACGGTGCATGGGCCGCAGAATGTTCCAGAAAGTGCTGGAGTCCCAGAGTCAGCCTCGATGGTTAGGTTCAGCGAAAACAATAGCTGCTGCGTAAGTCACAGCTGGACCACTTCATCCAAGCGTCATATGTGAAGAAGGCGATTGGCCAGCCAGAGGCCAGAGGACCTGCTGGTCGCACGAGGTCTTCGAGCAAAGACTTGCTGTTGGGCTTGGAGAAGCTGAAAGGGAACTTGACGCTACCTTTCAGATGTGTGAAGAGCAGCCGCACGGAAGGAAGACACAGCCCTGTCACCACTGAACAAGGACAGTAGGTGGAAGTGACAGGGAGCGAAACGCAGCATGAATTAAAAGCCCGCAGTCCTCACCAGTGGAACTAGACACCAGGGCTGGCCGCCTGCAAGGTGGTGAGCTCCCCTCCCTGCGCACTTCCCAGGGCTCCTAGGAAGGCTGTGGGCGTCTGCGGGCTGGGGAAGGGGAGCCAGGATGACCTCAGGGCTGGGACAGCCTGGTTTCCTGTGGCGGCTGGGGGAAGCCAAGACCTCGACCAGAGCCACCCCATGTGGGAGGGCAGGTCCCGCAGCGAGGATGGGGCACTGGCTGGTGCTGAGCCATCCGTAACCCAGGCACGGGTCTAACACAGTCAGGGAGCATCCAGGATGCCAAACGGAGGCAGGCGTAGGAGCCAGGAGGTGAGGGACAAGAGGCACCTGGAGAACCATGGCCCAGCCTGCCGTGGCCCAGCCTGCCGTGGCCCAGCCTGCCCCTGGCCCAGCCTGCCCGTGGCCCAGCCTGCCCCTGGCCCAGCCTGCCCGAGGCCCAGCCTGCCCCTGGCCCAGCCTGCACCAGGAGCTCAGTCCCTGCAGGTGATCGCAGAGCAGGCGGGACACTGGGCAGCAGTAGCCCCTGGGCCGGCACAGGTAAGCAGTAGCCCCTGGGCCGGCACAGGTAAGGATCGGTCTTGGGAGAGGTGGAAGTCCAGGGACTCAGCGAAGGGGGTCCTGGTCCAGTGGTCCAGCAGCTTCAGAGGCGGGGCAGGGGGAGGAAGGACACAAAGTCCAGGAACCTTCGGTGATTCCGTAACTAGGATCCAACCTTTTCCCGAAGGCAATAAAGTCATCACCGGCTATCAGACACCGCCTCTCACGTGCTTCCACCTCAGAGCAAAGGCCAGTCCCGAGCGCAGGCAGGAAGTCGGGGAACTTCCTCCTTGAGACCCTCGATTAGTATGTGTGCCTGTGTGCATGCCTGCGTGTGCATACGTGTATGTACCTGTGCCTGTGTGCGTGTCGCACCCTCATCCACCTGCAGGTTCCCAGGTGGCCCTGGACACTAAGGCTGGGGAAGAAGGTGATCCTCAAACCGACTTCAGGCGGGGGGACCTCAGGCCGCCGCACCCCTCCAGTCCCAGGGCCCAATGAGAGCCCCTCTGAACGCACCGCCAATGTGGGGTTCCTTCAACCGAGGGCACAAACCACATGCCCTCACCCTGGAGGGGGCCCCACCTATACCTCTTGTCCTTGAGGGGCCAGGAGGGCTGAGGGGTGGATGGACTGTACTTGGGACGTGGCTGCTTTGTGGCTCCGGGCTCTGCTGCCGCCACTGTCCTAAGGCTGGGGAACGCCACACCGAAATGCCACAGCAGATGTGCAAGGCAACCCCCCTGCAAAGGCTGACACGCTGACCCTAATCCTGAGGAGGCGGGAGGGTGTGTATCACAGGTGGAGGGGGCTGGCACGGATGCCATCCATTGACCCTGCCCGTCCTGCCCGTGAGCTGTCTCCCGGGCCCGGCCTGGCGCTGGATGGATCCACCGAAACACCGCTTCCAGGAACTCTGCCAAACATTAGCTCACGAACTCAGCGGCGACACGGCTCTGAGTTTCTGCAGGTGACTTTTCTCCCACCATCCCCCTCCGCCCAGACAAACACACCCGGGAGCTGCAGCAAAGCTTGCTGTGCAAGGACCTCACAGCTCAGGAGTGAATCAGGAGGCAGTGGCGGGGGGAGGCCATGGGACCATATTCAGCATTTTCTACTAACTAAGCAGCAACATTCTCCCAAGATCGCGCTACTGAAATTCAGTGCCCGAGGGAGGTGTTTTCTTCCCCCAAAAGATACACATAGGGAGGTGCTTTCTTCCCCCCAAAAGATACACATCTCCACCTGTTTACCCTACGATCCAACACGTTACCTACAGCAGTTCTTACATACATGGCTCTGTAGGAAACAGGACTGTTTTACACCATCAATTAAAAAAACCTTAACATTTGGCTTTCGGGCACTTTGGGAACGGAGCAGAAAGGTGGTGTTTAGAACTTTCTGGACGTGACCACACTGGAGGGAAGTGCTGGTCTGACACAGCAGGTGAGACGGGGGTGCCCTCACAGAGGCCGAGAACTTTCCATTCCTGCACAAATATGCTGCCTTGCTCCAGGCAGAACCCAGACTCCTTGGCGACAGAAGGAAACAGCACCAGCAGGAGGGAGGCCGTGTGCGAGGGGGTGGTTCCCACCGACCCCAGGCCGGCTCCGAGGCAGAGGGCAGAGGCCAGAGAGAACATGACCAAGGAAATAATTGCCTTTTTCCTTTCTTCTTTCTTATTTTTTCCCCAAACATCCCACCGTCTCAAGACATCCCACCGTCTCAAGTAGCTTGATAAATGGAAAAAATAAAACCAGCCTCTAAAAGCTGCACAGTGGGGCGTTCCCTGCGAACCAGACCCCACTTCTCACCCACCTCGCTGCCCACTCTTTGGACGTGTGGCTGAAGACTCCTGGCTCAACAGGGGAGTCCAAGGGGAAGGCCCCGAGTGCCTCTGACCTGCAGCTGGCAGCCCCCCTGCTGGCCCAGGGGGTGGGGCGGCACCCCTCAGGCACCGGCTCTCCCCTGGAAGGACCCCCACCCCAGCTCCTTGAGTCCCACTCTGCCTGTGCTCTCCCAAACCTACTTTCCAGTCCAAACACCACCCTCACTGGTCCCCCTGCCAGGAATCCCAGGGGGCCAGTGGGGACAGGCAGGGGGAGCCCAGGGCTGCCTGCTCCGCACCCCAGCCTATTCCCTCTGTGGCACTCGCTCCCCGCATTCCAGTCCCAGGTCAGAGAGAGGACGGGCCCCACCCTCTGGCTCAGTGGGTGGTCCGTGGGACTGCGAGGGGGCACTTCTTCCCACAACAGTGGCCCCTTTTCCTCCTCTGGCGGTGGAGGTGGCACTCACCGGCAGCCTTCAGGTTCATCTTCCAGGTGCTGCTCCCTGCCCTCCTGGCCTCAGGCGGCAGCTGCCAGGTGACTGGGGACTTCCCACACGCCAGGGCCAGTGCCAGGGCGGAGGACCAGGCAGTACGCCCTGGGCCAGGTGGCGGGGGAGGGCGGGCAAAAGGCAGACACCAGGCCAGGCAGGTGCGGACCAGGGAAGTGCCCGGCTGCCTGGCAGGTGCGCTGGGTAGAGCCCAACCAGCTCCCATTCAGCAGCCCC